AGCGTAAAAAAGCTGAGAATACTCAAAGTCAGAACGCCTCTCCCTCTAAAGATGATCACAGTTCCACATCGACAATGGAACAAGGCTTGATGGAGAACGAGCGCATCCTGATGACAGAATCACTCTTCAAGGAATGGGTAATAACAAACTTCGGTGAGTTAAAAGAACATGTTGTAGCCCAACGTAAAGAAACTAGGAACTTTGAAAAAAAGTTTGATGAAATCCTATTGAGAATAGACAACTTGGAGAGGAGTATGAGTGAATTAATGGAACTGAAGAATACAATACAGGAACTCCGAGAAGTATGCACAGGTTTAAACACTCGAATTGTTCAAGCAGAAGAAGGGATATCAGAGGTCAAAGTCCAACTTAATGAAATAAAACCTGAAGAAAAGATTAGAGAAAAAAGGATAAAAAGGAATGAGCAACGTCTCCAAGAAATGTGGGACTATGTGAAAAGACCAAATTTACGTTTGATAGGTGTACCTGAATGCGACGGAGAGAATGAATCCAAGCTGGAAAATACCCTTCAGGATATTATTCAGGAAAATTTTCCTAAACTAGCAAAGCAGGTCAACATTCAACCCCAGGTAATACAGAGAACACCACAAAGATATTCCTCAAGAAGAGCAACCCCAAGGCACATAATCGTTAGATTCACCAGGGTTGAAACGAAGGAGAAAATACTAAGGGCAGCCAGAGAGAAAGGTCAGATTACCCACAAAGGCAAGCCTATCAGACTTACAGCAGATCTCTCGGCAGAAACTCTACAGGCCAGAAGAGAGTGGGGGCCAATATTCAACATCCTCAAAGAACAGAACCTTCAGCCCAGAATTTCATATCCAGCCAAACTAAGCTTCACAACTGAAGGAAAAATAAAATCTTTTATGAACAAGCAAGAACTCAGAGATTTTATTACCACCAGGCCTGCTTTACAAGAGCTTCTGAAAGAAGCATTACACACAGAAAGAAACAACCAGTATTAGCCTTTCTAAAAATACACCAAAAAGTAAAGAGCACCAACATAAAGAAGAATTTACACCAACGAATGGATAAAACAGCCGGTCAACATCAAATGGCAGTAACCCTAAATTTAAATTGACTGAATCCCCCAATCAAAAGACACAGCCAAAACCCAATGGCATGTTACATCCAGACCTGTTTCACATGCAAGGATACACAAAGACTCAAAACAAAGGGATGGAGAAAGATTTACCAACCAAATGGAGAGCAAAAATAAATAATAAATAAATAAAAAGCAGGAGTTGCAATTCTTGTATCGGATAAAATAGATTTTAAAGCAACAAAGATATAGTGGTAAAAGGATCAATGCAACAAGAGCTAACGATCCTAACACCCAGATACGAGACTTAGATTCAATGAGACAGAAAATTAATAAGGATATCAAGGACTCGAACTCAGATCCAGAACAAGTAAACTTAATAAATATTTATAGAGCTCTCCACTTCAAATACACAAAATATACATTCTTGTCAATACCACATCACACCTACCCATTAGTTTAAATGAAACATTGATTGGCCATTATTAATACCCAATGTTTTTCAAAATAAAGCAATATTTCCATTTACTCTCCCTCTTTCTCTTCCTCTTTCTTCCTGTCCTTTACTTATTTTTTTTTTCTTTCCTTCTCTCAAAAAAAAAGAAATCAACTTGTAAACCTCTAGATCCAGGTCGGCAATGTCTCTTTCATTGCTTGATTTCCTTTCTTCCCTTCCCTCCTTCCCTCCCTCCCTCCCTCCCTCCCCGCTTCCTCCCTCCCTTCCTTCCTTCATCCCTTCCTTCCTCCCTACCGTCCTTATTCCCTTCCTTTCTGCCTTCCTCCCCCCCCAAAAAAATAAATAAAAATAATAATAAAAAAAAAGGAAAGAAAGAAAAAAGAAGTGCGGTCTTTCTGTCTAGTCGTCATCTGTTGCTAAGGAAGATGGCTGCTCATTGAGGCTCACTCCAGAAGGTTAGTGAGGGGTCTCCATCCCCTGGCTCAGCCTGGCTGGTGAGTGATGTCCTAGTCACCCACAATCATGACAGATGGGTGCTGGCATCTTACATCCGTGATGTCTTCTGATCCTGAATGCAGGCTGAGGTGGTTTCTTTAAGATGGAGCAGGGTGTGATGGCACGCATCTATAGTCCTAGCTACTTGGAAGACAGGATCGCTTGAACCCAGGAGCTCAAGTCCAGCCTGGGTAATACAGCCAGACCTTGTCAAGGGATGAGGTTCCCCCCACCAGTTTTTTAAGAAAAAAAAATGTAGGATGGAGAAAATGTTGCATGATTGGAACCCTTGAGTTGGAATTTTAAAGCAAAAGTTTTAAAGCAAAAGAAATAAAAAGCATCCATACTGTCCTTGGCTTGGCTGCACTGGTGCGTAGGCGCCTGCAGGAAGCTCCTTTCTGCCCCAGTGTTGGGCTGGGCCCTGCGTTGTGCTCTCACTGCTATGCAGCTCTCTCCTCTGATCTGGGTCTGAGCACCTCCGGGGCAGGCGCTGTGGATGGTCCCCTCCCACAGCCAGGGCCTGGCAGAACAGGCACCTAGTGGCATCAGTTTGAGTTTTAACTTTTTTCATTTTATGTATAAATAGGATTATTTATAACTCCTGGGAATCTAAATGAATGTTGGATTTTTAAAAATTATGACAATTTGAGAAATTAGATTTTCTTAAGCCTTAAAGTTCAGCTTACAAATATCTTTTTCTTTCTTTCATTTTCTTCCCCCCAAGATGGAGTTTCGCACTTTTTGCCCAGACTGGAGTGTAATGGTGCAATCTAGGTGGAGGTCACTGCAACCTCTGCCTCCCAGGTTCAAGTGATTCTCCTGCCAGCCTCCCGAGTAGCTGGGATTACAGGCATGCGCCACCATGCCCGGCTAATTTTTTGTATTTTTAGTAGAGCCGGGGTTTCTCCATGTTGGTCAGGCTGGTCTTGAACTCCCGACCTCAGGTGATCCCCCTCTTTGTCCTCCCGAAGTGCTGAGATTACAGGTGTGAGCCAATGCACCTGCCTAGCCAAAGCTAACAATTTTTCTATAAAAGAACATTTACTTTCATTATTTGATAAATGGTTTATTAACTCCAGTTTAACTGATTAAAAATCCCTAAACAATGTACTGTAAATTAGTTTCATTTGCAACTTAGTAAATTGAAAGAATTTAAACATTTTAAACTGCTTCAACAAATGGGAGCTGCCTATTTTTTTCTTCAGCATTTCCAACCCCTGAGGCCAACTAGCAAAGCTAGTAGATTGCTTTCTGTACTTAAACACCTCTTTGAAATCTCATAAACCAAATTTGGAAATGGAGTAAATCAGCTTCTTAAAAACGTTCAAATCCTGGATGCACTTTGACACTCTTCTTTCAAATTACTAATATCAATTACATATTTCAAATTAGGACCGCAAAGTTTCTTTAACTCTTCAAATTGTTTTAATTACCTTAATAACTAATGCACAAAGTATTCCAAAGATGACAAAATTTAAGTTTGAAATTAAGTTTATTCTTCAACCTGTAAAGCTTGATATTCTAATTTTTTCCCTCTGCCTCCTCTGGTAATAAGCACACTCAGGCCAACAGAGGTTATTGTGTTGAAGGTTCGTGACCCTGATCTCCACCAGAGATATGAGCCTAGGGTCAAGACTGGCTGTTACATTGTAGCAGGATTCTAGAATTAAATAAATTCTGTGCTTACCCAAGCAGGGGTGCACTGAGCCCTTTCCTAGAGTTGAGTTCACTTCTCTGTCAGTGGGGGATACAAGCTCCTGCCTTTGACCTGGGATTGATTGATGGAGTGAGTGAGTGAGACTGAGTCTCGCTCTGTTGCCCTGGCTGGAGTGCACTGGCACTCCAGCTCACTGCAGCCTCCACCACCCAGGTTCAAGCGATTCTCCTGCCCCATCCTCCTGAGTAGCTGAGGTTACAGTTGTGCTACCACACCTGGCTAATATTTGTATTTTTAGTAGAAACGAGGTTTCTCCATGTTGGTCAGGCTGATCTCAAACTCCTGACCTTGGGTGATTCACCCACCTCTGCCTTCTAAAGTGCTGGGATTACAGGAGTGAGCCACTAGCCCAACCTAAGCTGGGATTTAGCTTTCAAATCTCACACATCTTGTGCTCTCCCTGTACCTTCCATATTTCCTTCTCAGCCGGTTTGTAATCCCTTCCATCGTCAGATCTGAGCTGCAGCTTAGGTGAGGTTGCAGCTAATGTCCATCACTATGTAACTGGAATTAGCTCACTTTACCTGACTGGATTCGGCATTCTTTTCATGTGTATGTGTTTTCTTGACTGGTGCATGTTCACAGGCTATAGTCATTTTATTGGCAAGTAAGTATCAGTACCTACTGTCATGTTAAGTGCCTGAGTTAACTTCGATGACACAGGAGCATTAACCACATGTGGAGTCTATTTGTATTTCAATCTCCCCTGTCCGAAGGCAGCAATCGCTCAGCTGATTCCCTTCCATCACCGCTCTGGCTGCAGGTCAGAATCACCTGAGGAACTTTCATATGGTGTCCGGTCAGGGCACCACCTCAAACCATGTGAAGCAGAGCCTCTGCCAAGGCATTGTTGTGTGTTGAAAGTGCAGCAGGTGATTCAGACACACAGAGTATTAAAAACCCCAATCCTCAACTTTGTTTAACATGCTGTGAAATGAGAGATTTCAGGTCATTAAACAAACCTTGTTCTCCTTACCCCCATGTTGTGGAAACATTTGTGGGAAATGTACAGAGAAAATGAGAAGGATACCTTACATAGAAAATGTAGCTAATTCACAGCTGGACTATTTTCCTGTCATAAGACCAATAGCAAGGTATCTTAAGGTGTGGGTTACAAAGCCTTTATGATATGTGTTTCTTTTCTTTTTTTTTTTTTTTTTTTTTTTTGCTTAAAGTGCTCGTGTGGGGGTCAGTGCTGACCGTTATAAGTATTTATTAGGACCCAATGTAGTGAGGTGCACCCTCTGGTGTCTGCTTCCTTGCTGCAGGTTTCTACTGATGTACTCCACGATTCTGTGCAGCTATTACAATTCGGCCCTGACGACAGCAGTGGTCGGAGCTATCAAGGTGAGTGGATGGAGCCATGGAAGGAACAACTGAGTCAAGGAATGGACTGTGAATCCAAATTTTCTGTTGGAGGCCGGGTGTGACGTTGTTGTTGTTGGTGGTGGTTTAAGAACAGGAGCTGTGGCTGGGCGCGGTGGCTCACACCTATAATCCCCAGCACTTTGGGAAGCCAAGGCAGGTGGAACACAAGGTCAAGAGTCGAGACCACCCTGGTCAACAAGGTGAAACCCCATCTCTACTAAAAATACATAAATTAGCTGGGCATGGTGGTGCACGCCTGTAGTCCCAGCTACTCGGGAGGCTGAGGCAGGAGAATTGCTTGAACCCAGAAGGCAGAGGTTGCGCAGTGAGCCGAGATCGTGCCATTGCACTCCAGTCTGGGTTACAATAGCGAAACTCCGTCTCAAAAAAAAAAAAACAAAACAAAACCAGGAGTTGTGACCTTTTCAGGTGGACCTGTGTGATCCAGTCTTACTTCTTCTTTTTTTTTTTTGAGAAAGAGTCTCATTCTGTCACAGGATGGAGTGCCGTGGTGTGATCTTGGCTCACTGCAACCTCTGCCTCCCGGGTTCAAGCAGTTCTCCTGCCTAAGTCTCCTGAGTAGCTGGGATCACAGGTGCCAGCCACCACACCTTGCTATTTTAAAAATATTTTTTGTGGAGACAAGGTTTCACCGTGTTGGCCAGGCTGGTCTCGAACTCCTGACCTCACATGATCCATCTGCCTCAGCCTCCCAAAGTGCTGGGATTACAGGCATGAGCCACTGCACCCAGCCCCATCTTACTTTTTCTAATCTATTGCATAGAACAGAGGGACAGATTGCTAATTTATAAAGGAGAGACCAATGATAATTTTTGAAGTCAGGGGTGGCTTGGAGGGGATGGGTCTGGGAAAAAGAAGTAAAAGGCTAAAAAAAAAAAAACAACCAATCCAGCTATCAATGATCAGTAAGGTACTTTGTGAACCACAATATGGTTTTCTGGGAGAATCTGCCCACTAAGTAGAGCCCTCGTGGAAAACCATTTTCCATGTAGGTGTGCACTGTGTTATGAGGCATGAACCTGTGGGTTGGTGTGTGGGTGTTTGCATGTGTGGATGCATCTGAATACACACACCCCCACACATGTACACATGAATGAATGGGGGAGACATGTTCTGGATTCTATTCCATACTTTTATGAGGCATGAACCTGTGGGTTGGTGTGTGGGTGTTTGCATGTGTGGATGCATCTGAATACACACACACACACACATACACGTGAATGAATGGCGGAGACATGTTCTGGATTCTATTCCACACTTTTGCTTCGTTTTTCTATTCACATGAAGTCCTAGAATACGTGAGAACACTGCCTGCTTCAAGAATTCACCTGTCCCCTGACTACCCAGAGGTCTCCCAGAATGCAGTGGGCAGAGCACAGCCTGAAATTTAATGACTGTCTCTATTTGGTTCAAATTTAGGGTCAAGATAATTAACTCACTCCTTGGCCCTGGTGTGCTCACAAGATTGCAGTGCAGTGTGGGAGCTCAGGTTTGAAAAAAAAAGCAAAAACAAACCTGGCACAGTGGCTCATGCCTGTAATCCCAGCACTTAGAGAGGCCAAGGTTGGTGGACCACCTGATGTCAGGAGTTCAAGACCAGCCTGGCGAACATGGTGAAACCCTGTCTCTACTAAAAATACAAAAATGAGCCAGATGTGGTGGCAGGCGCCCTGTAGTCCCAGCTACTTGGGAGGCTGAGGCAGAAGAATAGGTTGAATCTGGGAGGTGGAGGTTGCAGCAAGCCGAGATCGCGCCACTGCACTCCAGCCTAGGCAACAGAGTGAGACTCTGTCTCAAAAAAAAAAAAAAATCCAAAAACCCAATAATGGTAGAGTTAGGACCTGGCAAGCAGATGACAGCCCCACTCTTCCTTTTGCCTGCATGCCAACTGGAACAGGGGAGGCAATAACACAATTTTCTATTGTTATCATACCCCATGATTTGCTTTATTTATTAAGCCCCATATTTAATGGCTTATTTATTTTTCTGAGGCAGAGTCTTGCTGTATTGCCCAGGCTGGAGTACAGTGGCATGTAGCTCTCTGCAGCCTTGACCTCCTGGGCTCAAGCAGTCCTCCCACTTCAGTCCCTGTAGAGTAACTGGGATTGCAGGCATGTGCCAGCATCCCTGGCTACTTAAAAATTTTTTTTGTAGAGATGGGATCTCACTGTGTTGCCCAGGCTAGTTTTAAACTCCTGGGCTCAAGTGATCCTTCCACTTTGGCCTCCCGAAGTGTTGGGATTACAGGCGTGAGCCATCATTCCTGGACTGTAATGGTGTTTATTTTGTTCAACCCCTTGTGACTAGCCCTCTGTACAAGCCTCTATGCAAAGTAACTACAGTGTCTAGTGTCAGGTTTTACCATACATGTTTTCCCCTGAATATTTCACTTTGAAAATGACAAATCCTCTGTTTTTCTGCAGAATGTATCTGTTGCCTACATCGGGATGTTGATCAGTGGAGACTACATTTTCTCTCTGTTAAACTTTGTAGGGTTAAATATTTGGTGAGTGGGAATTTTTAATGGACTCGCTTTGGGAAAACAAGAAACTTACAGTTTGATTAATATGTAATAAGGACAAGAGCCTAGAGAAGTCTAGGAGGTGTTAAGCCAGGAGGTGTTTTGACATTCTCATTTCTAAGCTAATTTTACTTGGATTGCTGGGTTCATCCTCATGCGGATCCATGGGGACACGTGTGATGACAGTTCAAGGGGCTGGGATGGAATTTAACTCACCTGTCTTCCTCACAGGAGGCCCCTGTGTCCTCTGCCCTCCTCCTAGAAGTGGGATGTGTTACCTTTGTGCCCACTAGGCTCGGCATGCAGGGGGTGTGGACTAAGCCAGCTTTGGAAGGCATTTGGGGTCTCAGCAGTGGGATGCCACTTAAGGCTAAGGGTGTGTAGTTTGTTGAGTAAACACCACGTGCTTATTTTCTCTCTGAGGTTCTGCATTAGATTTGATAACTTTTTCTGCCTCCAAAGGCTTGTAAATAAGATGGGAAATTCTCATCAAGCAATGTGCAAAGATGAGGATACTGGAATAATTCCCTCTGCATGAAGCAGGCTGTATTGAAAAAAAGGAGCAGCAGCTGCTGGTAGCCCCTGTGAAATTCTGTCACTTACTTTCACATTTTTTTCCCCTCTTTCAGCATGGCAGGGGGCTTGAGATACTCCTTTTTAACACTGAGCAGCCAGTTAAAACCTAAACCTCTGGATGAAGAAAACATCCATTTGGATTTGAAGAGCTAGAGTCTGCAGCAGGATGTAGACTGACTTGTGACTGGGGTCTGGGGGTTATTCCCACTAGGAATGTGAAGCCAGAGGTTTCAGATTTGGGACATCCACCCCCGGGGCAAGCGAGAACATCTGCAAAATGCAAAGAACTACCTCATACGCCCGCACCACGAGCCACTGGCAGCCCTGAGAAATGTACTTGGGCCGCACCTTACCAGTGGAAAGCAAAGCTTTTCAAAAGAAGCTATTGGGACTTGGTAGGTGGAGCCCAGGTGCTCTTCTAGGGACCGATGGCACCTTCGTGCCATGTGCTGGGAGGAGGTCGATGTAATGGTGACTCTTTTCTGATTAGCACCTCAGCCATGATTTGCAAGGTCCCAGTCACAACAAAGGGCCAATTGTTTCAGTTTAAACAGACATGTCTTTATTTTAATAAAATTAATCAGTTGACTGCCACTAATTTGTTAGCTTCAATGAAAGCGATGTTGGTATCTTTTCCTAATCATCAAAGTACAATAAAAAAAATATTTCTGGGTATGTCTCATGCTGTGATATTACTGGAGGCAGAAAATACTGTCTGTCATTCACAATGTAGCAGAATATGTCACTTTGAAGGGATAATTCCAAACTCTTTTATGACTTGAGGCTGGGGAAAGCTACAAACTCAATGGGAAAAAAAACACTCCGGCTTTATCCTGTTAGCTTTTTTTTTGTTTGTTTTTTTGGAGACAGAGTCTCCCTCTATCCCCCAGACTGGAGTGCAGTGGTGTGATCTCTGCTCACTGCAACCTCCACCTCCCAGGTTCAAGTTACTTTCATGCCTCAGCCTCTTGAGTAGCTGGGATTACAGGCACCTGCTACCACGCCTGGCTAATTTTTGTATGTTTAGTAGAGACGGAGTTTGGCCGTCATGTTGGCCAGGCTGCTCTCAAACTCCTGACCTCAGGCGATCTGCCCACCTCGACCTCCTGAAGTGCTGGGATTATAGCTGTGAGCCACCACCTCGAGTCTCTGGAGTAACGGGGACTACAGGCTCACCTGCCTGGCTGTGTTTTTAAGCGCTCACCTGTTTTGTTTCTCCTCATCTCCCTCCAGGTTCATTCAGGAACTTTAACCAAAGGTGCATTTCCTCACAGGCTCGCCTACCTCCAACCTCTGGTGTATGGAAAGGAGGCCAAATGGGTAGGGTGCCTTTACCTTCCCTGTGTGGAAATGGGTGTCCCCACAGGAATTGGAGTGCAGGGTAGAGCCCCAGTCTAGGAATCAGGAGCCAGACTAACTAGCCTTGTCTCTACTATTAAGCTCAGGAGACCTTTCCCAAGTCACTTTGCCCATCCTGGCCTTCAGTATTTTATCTGTAAAATTAAACTAGATCTCTAAATCCCTGTGAGCTGCAGCTTTCTAAGTTTCGAGAAGCTGAGTCAGACAGATCTGGAGCAGGCCAGCACAAGAAGGAATCATTGTGTGGATGTGTTGTTTCAATCTACTCAAAAAAATTGTTTTTGTGGCTGGGTGCAGTGGCTCACACCTATAATCCCAGCACTTTGGGAGGCTGAGGTGGGAGAATCACTTGAGGCCAGCCTGGGCAACCTGGTGAAACACCATCTCTACAAAAAAAAAAAAATTAGCCAGGCGTGGTGGCACACACCTTTGATTCCAGCTACTGGGAACGCTGAGGCGGGAGGATGGCCTGAGCCTGGGAGGTGGAGGCTGCAGTGAGCCAAGATCATGCCACTGCACTCCAGCCTGTGACAGGGTGAGAACCTGCCTCAAATTTTTTAAAAAAAATTGTGGTAAAATATGCAACAAAATTTACCAGTCTAACCATTTAAAGTGTATACAGTCCAGTAGTAGTGAGCATACTCACTGTGCAACCCACCTCCAGAACTTTTTCATTTTGCAAAACTGAAACGCTGTACCCATGAAACAAGAACTCCTCATTTCCGAATCCCCCTAGCCACGGCAATCCCCGTTCTACTCTCTGTCTTTGTGAGTTTGACTATTCGAGATACCTTATCTAAGTACAATCATAGTATTTGTTTTTTTGTGACAGGTTTATTCACTTAGCATCATGTCACCAAGGGTCGTCCATGCTGTAGATGAGCGTGTCCCTCCTTAGGTCTGAATATAGGGTGTAGATTTGCCACATTCTGTTTTTCTGGCCATCTGCTGATGGCCACTCAGCTTGCTTCCACCATTTGGCTATTATGAATAATGCTGCTATTAATATTGGTGTACAATATGTCTTCAAGACTACAGTTTCAATTTTTTTAGATATACGCCTAGAAGTGGAATTGCTGGATCCTACAGTAATTCTATTTTTAATTTTTTGAGGAGCTGCTATGCTGTTTTCTGTAGTAGCTGCAGCATTTACATTCCTATAATCAAGGATTCCAATATTTCCACACCCTCAGTAACATTTGTTATTTTCTGTTTCATTTTTACTTGTAGCCATCATAGTGGATATTTTCAAAAATAATTTATTTTTATTTTATTTTGTTTTTAGAGATGGGGTCTCACTATGTTGCCCAAACTGGTCTGTAACTGTGGGCACAAGTGATTCTCCTGCCTCAGCCTCTGGAGTAGCTGAGACTACTGGCTCAGCTGCCTGGTTGTGTTTTGGTTTTGATTTGTATTTCCCTAATTAATCGATTAATGGTGTTGAACATTTTTAAATGTCCTTGTTGGCCATTTGTTTATCTTCTTAAATAAATGTCTGTTCAAGTCCATTGCCCATTTCTTGATGAAGTTGTTTTTATTGTTGTTGAGTTGTAGTTCTTTACTGTTTCAATATGCTTTTGAATTTATTATTATTTTTGAGACAGGGTTTTACTGTCTCCCAGGCTGTAGTGCAGTTGCATGATCTTGGTTCACTACAGTCTCCACCTCCCAGGCTCAGACGATCCTCACACCTCAGCCTCCTGAGGAGCTGGGACCACTAATAACAAATTTCCCTGGCTAATTTTAAATATTTTTTTTGTAGAGATGGAGTCTTGCCCTGTTGCCTAGGCTGGTCTTCAACTCCCAAACTCAAGTGATCCTCCCACTTTGGCCTCCTAAAGTGTAGGAATTACAGGTGTGAGCCACTGTGCCTGGCCTTCAATGTCCTTTTAAGAAGCTTCTGAAGGGCTGGGCATGACAAACATGGCACGATTCTATGTCTACAAAAAATATATAATAAGATAAAATAATTTAAACTTCTGGAGTGTGACCTTGGAGCTCTCAAACTTTTTTTTTCTGAGACAAAGTCTTTGTTGCCCAGGCTGGAGTGCAGTGGCATGATCTAAGCTCTCTGCAACCTCTACCTCCCAGGTTTAAGTGATTCTCATGTTTAGCCCCCCAAGTAGCTGGGATCATAGGGGTATACTACCATGCCTGGCTAATTTTTTATTTTTAGTAGAGATGGGGCTTCATCATTTGGCCAGGTTGGTCTTGAACTCCTGGCCTCAGGTGGTCCACCTGCCTCGGCCTCCCAAAGTGCTGGGATTACAGGCTTGAGCCACCACAGCTGGCCATCCAAACTTTTGTTAACCGCCTGTCGCATCAAGTTACCTCCCGTTGAATCCCAGAGACCAAAGATGCTAAGCAAAACAAACACAAACTAATTTTTTCTTTCTTCCAAAATTTTTTTTAACATTTAATTTTTATTCTTGGAATTCTTAAAGGAAGATGTTTGTGTTTTAAGACTTTTACTACCAATAACAGACTTAAAGAAAGCCAAATCAAGAGCGAACTGCCATTCGCACTTGCTACAAAAAGAATAAAATACCTTGGAATACAACTCACAAGGAACGTAAGAGACCTCTTCAAGGAGAACTACAAACCACTGCTCAACGAAATCAGAGAGGACACAAACAGATGGAGAAACATTCCATGTTCATGGTTAGGAAGAATTAATATCGTGAAAATGGCTATACTGCCCAAAGTAATTTACAGAATCAACGCTATCCCCATCAAGCTACCATCGACTTTCTTCACAGAACTGGAAAAAACCACCATGAACTTCATATGGAACCAAAAGAGAGCCCACATAGCCAAGTCAATTCTAAGCAAAAAGAACACAGCGGGGGGCATCACACTACCGGATTTCAAACTATACTACAAGGCTACAGTAATCAAAACAGCATGGTACTGGTACCAAAACAGAGATATAGACCAATGGAACAAAACAGAGGCACCGGAGGCAACACAACATACATACAACTATACAATCTTTGATAAACCTGACAAAAACAAGCAATGGGGAAAGGATTCCATGTTTAACAAATGGTGTTGGGAAAACTGGCTAGCCATGTGCAGAAAGCAGAAACTGGACCCCTTCCTGACACCTTACACTAAAATTAACTCCAGATGGATTAAAGACTTAAACATAAGACCTGGCACCATAAAAACCCTAGAAGGAAATCTAGGCAAAACTATCCAGGACATAGGAGTAGGCAAGGACTTCATGACCAAAACACCAAAAGCATTGGCAACAAAAGCCAAAATAGACAAATGGGACCTAATGAAACTCCACAGCTTCTGCACGGCAAAAGAAACAGTCACTAGAGTGGATCGGCAACCAACAGAATGGGAAAAAATTTTCGCAGTCTACCCATCTGACAAAGGGCTGATATCCAGAATTTACAAAGAACTCAAACAGATTTACAGGAAAAAAACAAACAAGCCCATTCAAAAGTGGGCAAAGGATATGAACAGACACTTTACGAAAGAAGACATATATGAGGCCAACAATCATATGAAAAAATGCTCATCGTCACTGGTCATCAGAGAGATGCAAATCAAAACCACATTGAGATACCATCTCACGCCAGTTAGAATGGTGATCATTAAAAAATCTGGAGACAACAGATGCTGGAGAGGATGTGGAGAAAAAGGAACACTTTTACACTGTTGGCGGGAGTGTAAATTAGTTCAACCATTGTGGAAGACAGTGTGGCGATTCCTCAAGGCCTTAGAAATAGAAATTCCATTTGACCCAGCAATCCCATTACTGGGTATATATCCAAAAGTCTGTAAATCGTTCTACTATAAGGACACATGTACACGAATGTTCATTGCAGCACTGTTTACAATAGCAAAGACCTGGAATCAACCCAAATGCCCATTGATAATAGACTGGATTGGAAAAATGTGGCACATATACACCATGGAATATTATGCAGCAATCAGAAATGATGAGTTTGTGTCGTTTGTAGGGACATGGATGAATCTGGAGAACATCATCCTCAGCAAACTGACACAAGAACAGAAAATGAAACACCGCATATTCTCACTCATAGGCGGGTGATGAAAAATGAGAACACATGGACACAGAAAGGGGAGTACTAAACACTGGGGTCTATTGGGGGGAAAAGGGGAGGGCCAGTGGGAGGGGGAGGTGGGGAGGGATAGCCTGGGGAGAAATGCCAAATGTGGGTGAAGGGGAGAAGCAAAGCAAAGCACACTGCCATGTGTGTACCTACGCAACTGTCTTGCATGCTCTGCTCATGTACCCCAAAACCTAAAATCCAATAAAAATTAAAAAAAAAAAAAAAAAAACTTTTACTACTGCTTCCATGTGTGGCCAGCAGAGGGCACCCTAAGAGCAGCCCAGCAGCGCTAGTAGCTGGGTTAGAAAGTGGCAAAGTTTGCTGTACTGCTAAAGAACTTGGGTTTAAAGGAGGAGGAAGGTTGAAGGAAGTTCCAGGCAGGCTTTTGAACTAAGTCAGGGTGCTGGAGGTGAAGTGGTATGGAAAGGCTGTGCAAACCCCATTGAGGCTGAATTAAAAATGTAGGCCCAGTGACCCAGGTCTCCAGATTTAATTTTTCCTAGTAAAAACACTGAAAAAACCACTAGTGGAGGGTCAAAAAATTATTTAATTTCCTTGATATTTTGCACACTTACTTCTTGCCATGGTACTACAGATAACAGTTACACCATTTGTGAAATTGGACTACTTCTTGCTGTTTTAATACTTTTTCTATATATTAAGTATCTATATCTCAAGCATAGGAGTTTTTTGACAACTGAGGTTGGTAACACAATAGGACCTAGTTTAGAGAAGAGTTAAATATATCTTTTTGTTAGGTAAGTTACATTTGTTAATAATTTCAAAGTCTTTAGGCCTGGCAAGGTAGCTCATGCCTGTAATCCCAACACTTCAGGAGGCGGAGGCAGGTGGATCGCCTGAGGTCAGGAGTTTAAGACCAGCCTCACCAACATGGTGAAACCCCATCTCTGCTAAAAATACAAAAATTAACTGGGCATGGTGGGGGGCGCCTGTAATCCCATACTCCAGAGTCTGAGGCAGGAGAATGGCTGCAACCTGGAAGGGAGAGGTTGCAGTGAGCTGAGACTGTGCCACCGCACTGCAGCCTGGGTGACAGAGTGAGACTTGGTCTCCAAAAAAAAAAAAAAAAAAAAAAAAATTCGGCCAGGTGCAGTGGCTCACGCCTGTAATCCCAGCACTTTGGGAGGCCAAGGTGGGCGGATCAGCTGAGGTCGAGAGTTCAAGACCAGCCTGACCAACATGGAAAAACCCCGCTGCACATACAAAAGCTTAGCTGGGCATGGGGGCGAATGCCTGTAATCTTAGCTACTTGGGAGGGTGAGGCAGGAGAATCACTTGAACTTGGGAGATGGAGGTTGCGGTGAGCCAAGACTGCACCACTGCACTCCAGCCTGGGCAACAAGAGCAAAACTCCCTCTCAAAAAAAAAAAGAAAAAAAGTCTTTAGTTGCTTTTTTCTTTTTGCGCTTTCACTTGCACTTTTAGGGCTTGGTGACTTGCACCTGTGAGTTGTCACCACCTTCTGTGAAAGGTCATGTGTTGTTGTGCATGCATTGTGTGTGCTGGGACCTACCTGACCAGCAGCTGCTGCTCTGTGGGAGCTTTCAGGAAACGGCACCTAGCAGGTCAGAATCTCTATGCATGTTCATCTCTGCCATCAGATACTAATGCAGAAGGAAAGCATGCCCCTTGAGGATGAAGCTGGAAAACTCCAAGCCATTGCTGGAGACTTCGAGGATCAGGAACCACCATCCCAGCTCTGACCTCTACTCCAGGTTGAAGTTGTCACCAGGATAAACCCTAAAGCTTTTGTCTGCAATTTGTGGTCCCTACACCATAAGTGGCATTGCTAATTTGGGGCATCATAGAAATACAGACTCTCGGGGTACATTCTGATTCACTGAATCAGAACCTGCATTTATCCCCAGGGATTTGAGAAGCACCACCCACCCCAAGCTGTTGGTCCAGACCATCCCCCAACACTTTTTTTTTTTCAGACAGAATCATGTTCTGTTACACAGACTGGAGTACAGTGGCTTGATCTTGGCTCATTGTAACCTCTGACCTCTGGGTCCAAGGGATTCTCCTGCCTCAGCCTCCTGAGTAGCTGGGATTACAGGCATGTGCCACCATGCCTGGCTAATTTTTGTGTTTTTAGTAGAGATGGGGTTTCACCATGTTAGCCAGGCTGGTCTTGAACTCCTTGGGCTTGGTGCCTGCGGTGGCCTGGGTGGCCCGGCTTGCTGGCTACCGCCGAGCAGTCAGGACGACGGTGGGCAGGAGGGGTGGCTTCTGGGCTGAGATGCTCCTGCTTCACCACCACCGTCGCTGGCAGCACCAGGTCCCCGTCTCGGTGTCTTGGCCGGCCCCCCTCACCCGTTTGCTCTTCACTGCCTTCATTCTGATTCTGGCTGAGCGAAAGAAAACAGATCCGCTGAGCTCCTCTCGCTGAAGGAAATGTCATAGTGTGTTTTGATTGTCAGTTTTTGTAGACCCCTGTGCACTAGTGTTTCCCTAATTTCTGCACAAGGAAAACGGATGAGGGAATGCGGCTGGCAGGGGAGTGCTGGGAGTGTGCATCTGGTGGGCAAGAGAGGATGATCATCCTGCTGACAATCTTCCTTTAGACTTCATAGTCAATCTAGAAATCTAATGGAAGAATAGTTGAAACACTTATTGAGTACAGATTATTGATTCTACAAACACTTTGGTACACAGAAATGCTTAGGCATCCAAACTTTATAGTTATTATGCAATTGCACGCACACTTACGGATTACATGAATTCAAGTTTTTAATGTGATGAAAAATATAATATTGGTTATACCAACAGAATGCTTGTATAAATTGTTCTTATTGGGCTGGGCACGGTGGCTGATATCTATAATCCTAACACTTTGGGAGGCTGGGCGAGTGGATCACCTGAGGTCAGGAGTTTGAGACCAGCCTGGCCAACATGCTGAAAACCTTTTTCTACAAAAAAGACAAAAATTAGCCAGGTGTGGTGGTGGGCACCTATAATCCCAGCTACTTGAGAGGCTGAGGCAGGAGAATCGCTTGAGCCTGGGAAACGGAGGTCGCAGTGAGCTGAGATTGTGCCACTGCATTCCAGTCTGGGGACAGGTAAATTTATTTCCAATTTATACATATTTTCTATCACAGAAGAATTTGCTGCATAGTTAACTTGGTAATCATCAAAATCATGTTTTATGTCTTTCTTAACGGATGAAACAAATACATCCTTAATTAGTTGAATAAAGATCTTTTATTGGAGCCATAACTCAAACTCAAGGCTACTGTATTGCCAAATAGCAAGTGGCATAGTTGGAACTAAGGAACAGGAGCATAGCAAGGAAGCTGTTGGTTACACTGGGAAGTTATTTGTTCACTTCATATTTACTTATGCAGCACTTATGAAGAATCAAATACAGTTCTAAATACCTTTAAAATGCAAATCTTCAAATACTTAAATAATAAAAGCTGAAGTGTTGCATAAATAATGTATACCTGTAGGGTCTGAAGCATAAAGGGGCATCACCAGCATGTCTGGAAAATAGAATTACTGTTAGCCATGAGTCAAATGGTAGCGCTGCATTTTCATGAGTCATTCTTAACAGCAAGTTCCTACTGTGTCACTTTTCACCAGAACACATTGTGCACTCACCATTTCTGAAGATGCTGTGTATGTCAACTCTTCCTTATGGTTTTGATCAAATTTTCCTTCTGCCTCTCCTAAGAGGTTCTGTAACCTCTTAGCCACATGTCTTAGTCCATACAGACTGCTGTAACAAAGCACCATAAACAGTGTTATATGCCTGCTGTGCAGCAACAGACCAATTACACCAAGACAGCAAGATTTGCAGCAGAGAGTTTAATGATCACAGGGATGGAGCAGGAGATGGTGGAGACCCTCAAACCCATCTTCTGGAGGAGTTCTGAGCTGAGGATTTTAAGGAGATTATGGAAGGTGAGGGATGTAAGAGTGGGGTTGTTGATTGGTCAGGGTAGGGAGGATGAAATCATCAGGGTGTACAAGCTGTGTTCTTTGGTGAGTCAGCTCCTGTGGGGTCCTTCAGACCAGCTGGCATCAGTAGTTTCATTGGTATGCAGGACCTGACAGAGTCCCTCACCTGGAAAACATAACATTTTATAATGTTCAAGTTGCTGCCTATAGAGCAGTTACGGGAACTGTAATCTTTTGATGAGGTCTATGTGATTCTGAGGCAATTGGCATGAAATAAATGACAATGAGGAAGCAGGTCAGAGAGCAGCTGTCCTCATGGTTCATGCTGAACGTACTGCAAGCTTAGCGTATTTTCATTTCTCCCCCCTCCCCTCCTCCCTAATTAATTTTATAAAGTTTATAGGGAGGGATCAACAGGGTAACTTATAAACAACAGAAATGTATTTCTTATTGTTGTGGAGGCTGAGAGGTCCAGGATCGAGGCACCGGCAGGTTTGGTGTCTGGTGGGGGCCTGCTTTCTGGTTCAGACATGACCAACTTTTCAATATGTCCTTATGTTGAAGAAGAAACAACTGAGCTCCCTTGGGCTTCTTTCAGAGGGGCACTAACAGGTTCATGAGGGCTCTACCCTCACGCTCTAATCACTTCCCAAAGGCCACATCTACTTACCATCACCTTGGGGGTTAGGATTTCAACACAATTTAGAGGAACACACACATTCAGCACCATGATTCAAAGTCCAGTTCCTAAAAATGTCCTTGTGGAGAATTTCAGTGAACCCTACAGAGTAAATTTCCACATGTGTGTCATTCCAGTTCCCCTTGTTACTTCTGTTAAGTCACTTAGTGGCATGGGCTTGGTGGCAGAATCATCTACCTTCACATCTAACTCTTTTATAATATGGCAGATCTCTGGAGAGCAGAACTATTTTGGATAAAACTCCTATTCAGGTTCAAGTAACATAGAGGTACCTTGAGTTTCTGTGAACCTAGGCATAGTTTTTCCAGGCAAGGCCCTATTAGGGTTGGAGGCCTTTGAGAGAGCACCCCAACAGAGACGCCCCCAGCAATCCCTCCAAAGATCTACACAGAGACCCCAAAGAGAGAGAGCCCCAGAGACCCACAGAGACCTCCACAGAGATCCCCCCGCAAGAGACCGAAACAGAGATGCCCAGACACTCACACAGAGACCCACCAGTAACCCACACACAGATCTCCACACGGAGACCCATAAAAAGACCCCACCAGAGGCCCCTACAGAGACCCACACAGACTTGAGAGAGACCTCCAGGGACTTACACAGGGTCCCCCCACAGAGATCTCCCAGAGATCTATCTATGCAGCTACCTCCACAGAGAACCCCACAGGGACCCACACAGAGACCTTTGAGAGACATCTCCACAGAGACTCACATTGAAAGACCTCTGACTGACACTTAAACTCAGAGAACTCAGAGACCTGGCACTGAGAGCTCCCCAAGAACTTCCTCCCAGGAGACCTGGAGGTGAGCACAAGGTCTTCCACGCAGAGACCTCCCTGAGAGGTCGTCTCTCTGCACCACACAGAGCTCTCTTAGGGAGACATCACACAGCCTCCTGGACCTTCCAGAAACCTCACAGACTCCCTCAGAGATCTCACAGGGAGTCCTTATATGAGAGACACACAGAGACCTCCCCAGAGACCTTGCACAGGGACACCGGGCAGTGACCTCCCAGAGACCACATACTGTCACCAGGTGCTCTCACAGTGGCCTCCCATACCACCTCCTACACACAGACCCACAGACCTCCTCACAGAAGCCTGGCCCAGAGCTCTACAGACTTCTAGAGAGTTCCCTGCAGAACTCACCTCAGACCATCCAGAGGCCTCACATGAGATTGCTCCCAGAGACCTGCCTCTGAGGCCTCCACCATCAGCACCTGGTGCCTGAACCTCTTCTAACCAGCCATGCTCACTGATCTGGGCTTCTGATCCCTTCAAGTTTAGCAGTGGGAGGGTGAGGGGATAGAGCTGAAGGGCAAGAAAAACACCTGCATTGGGCACTGGATGCCAGGAGCCCCTGATGGTAGGGGCTTGGCCAGGACTTCATAGGAGCATTCTGTGTCACTGTCAGGGGTCCTGCACCTGTCCTTCCTTGTCAGGGAAAGCACTTCCTCTGGCTGGTCCCCATAGTTGCCCTGTCAACCCCCTCATCATCAGGCACACCCCTCTGTAGTCATCCTCCTCCCCTTAGATCCTGACTTTGAAGCTGGGCCCACTTCTGCTCAGGGTGGAACTCCTCTAACCTGGTGGTGGATGAGCATTTACTCCTAATGCAGCCTCTTCTGTGCTGCTGCGGGCACTTCATCCAGCCCTTTCTTCCAGGATCACTCAAGGATGGTTCCTCAAAAGCCAGAGGAATGAGGGCAGGTTCTCAGAGTTGGGCCCTGGATGCCCCTTGTGGAGGCCTGTACATGGCTGTACTCTGGGTGACACAGGGGACATGGGGACAGGTCTCAGCAACCACTCTTGCCCACTGATGCCCACAGGCACTGGAAGCTGGCAGCACCGTGTCCATGCCCAGCTGCCAGGAGTGAAGGTCTATGTAGATGGAAGCATTCTGCTCCCCGCCGAATTCATTCATCCATTCTTCACTCATTCAATTCATTGATGACCAACAGATCTTCACGGAGTCCCTGCCATGCTCTGGGCCCTATTCTAGGCACACGGCTGAAGCTGCTATTGTAGAACATTCTGATTCTCAGCCGCTTCTGTCTCATCTTCTTCGGCCCTTTACCCTCACTCTCTCCACTGGCTGGCAGTATCCTCTTCAGCAGGGGCAGCCCAAGGGACATTTCTAAGAGATGGTGGAGAAAGCTGCGAGGAGATTCCTCCTGCTGATCCCTTTCTCTCTCTCGCCTTCTGTTTCTCCCTCTCTGTTTCTCTTCTTCCTCCTTCTCTCCCTAATTGGGTCACTTTCCTTTCTTTCCTCTCTCCTCCTCCTTCCCCTTCTGATCCCTTCCTCTGGTTCTCCCTCTTTCCAGGTCTCCAGGTCAGGAGTTTGAGACCAGTCTGACCAACATGAAGAAACCACATCTCAACTAAAAATACAAAATTAGCCCGGCGTTGTGGCTCATGCCTGTAATCCCAGCTACTTGGGAGACTGAGGCAGGAGAATCGCTTGAACCCGGGAGGCAGAGGTTGCCGTGAGCCGAGATCAAGCTACTGTACTCCAGCTTGGGCAACAAGAGTGAAACTCCATCTTAATAAATAAATAAACAATAAAAATTTAGTAAACTCATTGTATGTTTATAAGACAGAAAACTGACGTACATGGAATAATGACAACTTATTTACAAAACCTAAATAACTTGGTTTCTTTCCGACAAAAACAGACAAACTTCAATTTATTAAAATTATTTTCCCCAATTAACTGTTCCACAGTTCCAAGGAACTGACTTCCTTAGGACCTTCCCAGAGGAAGGTTTTCCACTCATTTTCACCACTCCGTTTTATCGAACGTCTAAACTCTGGTTTTTGCAGACCTGTCTCCTGGGTCCTCTTAGAAGTGTTTCTTTCCTAAGCCTCGAGGGGACCCGGAGCATAAGAACTCAAAACTAAGACGCTCGGTCTCAGCCCCGGCCCATTCCTCCCTATACTCATCCCTGTACTCGGCCGCTGGGACTGGAAGATCCCTGCAGTCCTTCCAGCAAGAGACGCCGAGTCTTGGCGTGACTGAGCCAGTCCCGCTGAGGTCTCAGGCCATAAATCCACACGCGCCATCCCAACCTCCGCAGGCCCAGGTGCAGTCGCGGGCCGCTCATAGCGCGGAGCTCACCTCGTAGAGCGCCTCTACCATCTCCACCAGATCCCACTGCTCCGTGGTGGTCGCCGTAGTTAGCTGCTGGGGATCCCTTCCAGAAGGCGGGTCACAAACGCGTCCTAAAAGTGCGCGTCGATGCTCAGTGACGTCTTCACCTCTGCAGAGGGTGGGGCGGCGGAGCGCTGGGCACCGCCTCCTCGCACTTGCGCACTGGTTAACGGGAGGCTGGGCAGGGTCGGGTGGGATGCCGGAAAGTTTCTCCAGGAATTGTTTACCTTATGTCCATTACGCACCCTGCTGGATTCGGGATGGAGAGAGTAGACCCTTGCTCTTGGCCATCAGCTGGGTGCAGTGTAAAAATGACTTGCAATACGTTTACTTTTTTTGAGACAGAGTTTCGCTGTTGTTACCCAGGCTGGAGTGCAATGGCACGATCTTGGCTCACCGCAACCTCCGCCTCCTGGGTTCAGGCAATTCTCCTGCCTCAGCCTCCCGAGTAGCTGGGACTACAGGCACACACCACCATGCCCAGCTAATTTTTTGTATTTTTATTAGAGACGGGATTTCACCATGTTGACCAGGATGGTCTCGGTCTCTTGACCTTGTGGTCCACCCGCCTCGGCCTCCTAAAGTGCTGGGATTACAGGCGTGAGCCACCGCGCCCGGCTTTTTTTTTTTTTTTTTTTTTTTGAGAAGGAGTTTCGCTCTTGTTACCCAGGCTGGAGTGCAATGGCGCGATCTCGGCTCACCGCAACCTCTGCCTCCTGGGTTCAGGCAATTCTCCTGCCTCAGCTTCCCGAGTAGCTGGGATGACAGGCACGCGCCACTATGCCCACCTAATTTTTTGTATTTTTAGTAGAGACGGGGTTTCACCATGTTGACCAGGACGGTCTCGATCTCTTGACCTCGTGATCCACCCGCCTCGGCCTCCCTAAGTGAGCCACCGCGCCCGGCCGCCAACTGACATTTTAAGACAGGACACCTAACAGATCCTTTCTCCACAACGCAGCCCTGGGCCTGTCTGTCTTCATCATCATTGTGTCTGCGTCTCAGAGCTAGAGAACAGAACATGCGCGTGAAGACCGAACCTCTACTTACAGGTGCGGGGTTTCCGGCCTGCGGGGAAAGGAGTCCGCCCCTTCCGATTGCGCGCACAAGCCCAGTTAGTCACGTGAAGCCGGGGCGGGGCAGATGGGCGGTGCCGGCCGCCATTGCTCCGTGTACCCTGTCGTCGGCATGCTCTCAGCGTGTGTGTTTTTGTTTTGTTTTTATACCGGATTAAGCTTGCTGCTGGGTGACAGCAGAGGGCTAGGAAAAGGCGCAGTGGAGCCTGGAGCGGTCATCCCCAACTGGACGCAGCTTCTGTTCTTCTGGTGACGTGGCCCACAGGACCCGCCCTAGTGGTCGGCTGCAGCCTTATTGCTAGGCAACGGCGAGCGCGCTCTGAGCGGCGCGGGGCGAAGTGGGATTTGGAAGCTTAGGGGCACAAGCCCAGCGACTGCACCGGGATGGACCAGTACTGTATCCTGGGCCGCATCGGGGAGGGTGCCCACGGCATCGTCTTCAAGGCCAAGCACGTGGAGGTGAGGCCGGACCGTGGCTGGCAGCCTGGCGGGGTAGTACTCCCGCCTCCCTCCGGCTAAGGCTCTAAGCCGCTTCGGTTCCCTTTTTACATCCAGTACAGTTTTTAAAACCTACTCATATTCTAAACCTCCTTTGGGCCGTTGCGCTTCCCTCCCGACAGCTGTCTTGGCCCCCTACCCCAGCGGCTGGGTGCCAGGCTATTCCTAGACCCCTGAGAAGGGCCTCTGGCCTACCCAGGGGCGCGTGTTTCTTTCTCAACCACCCTCCCCCAACCCACCTTAATCTCTCTTTCCCAGCCGAGGGTGGGCTGGCATTATGTGCCTTCTATCCTGCAGACTGGCGAGATAGTTGCCCTCAAGAAGGTAGCTCTTCGGCGGTTGGAGGACGGTATCCCTAAGCAGGCCCTGCGGGAGATTAAGGCTCTGCAGGAGATGGAGGACAATCAATATGTGAGTAGGGGATGGGGGGGCATCGCATTCTCGCCCTCCTTCGCTTGTTCTCACTTCCTCTTCTGCCTTCATTTTTCCCCACAGCTACGCCTTCACCAGCTTTCGGGGATTTCCTCCCCCTGTCAGTCACACATACTGCTCATGCATCTGCCTCCTTACCCCTTTTTGCCCTTTTTTGTTCACTCGTTCACCTCATTTACCTCATTCTTTCATTTCTCACACATTCACTCTCATTTATCCACTTCTGTATGTATTCATTCATTCACCAACTTTTTTTCTCAATACATTTAGTGATTTATAATATAACTGGCACCTGTTGAGCTCCTGTGTGTTCTGTGGGCATTGTAGACATTGTTATTTTGATATCTCTTTACTACTCTACAAGGCAGGTTTCAGGTTCTCTGTTTCTCAGGTGAGGGGAGGAGGTTAAGTCACCAGCTCGTGGGCCCTCAAGTTGGTCAGTAGAGAGTTTGGCCCAGGTTTGATTGAGAGTCTAGACATTCTTTCCTTGGGGCCTCCTGTAGGCCCTACCCTGTGTTGGGCACTGGTGACGTAGAGAAATTAGCTCCAACCCAGCTCCTGAGGATATAAATGCGCTAGCAAGAGACAGGCAGAGGCAGCAGGGCTCACCTAGTGTGGGTCGTACTGTGATAGGGTATGAGGAGGGGCTGCTGGAACACGCGCAGGGGCATCTTTCATCTCCAGCGTCATTACTCTTTTGGTGCTCTCTCTCATCCGTGTTGAAACAGCGAATGTATTTGACTCCCTGGAGAGTAACCGAGTTGGGTCTCTGTAATCATCTGACTTATCTTTGCTGTTCCCTGGAGATATTAATGATATATTGGATGACAAAAAAGCATGTTATAACACTTTGTGTCATCTGGGTTTTGTTTGGAAATATTGTATATGTGAATGTGTATTTCTGTGTGCTGTATCTGTTGTAAAGTCTGGTAGAGTGCACTGTAAGATTGACTAGGATTTTTCTTTTGTTCTTTTTTTTCTTTCTAATTTTGTGTCTTACCTGAATGTGTGGATGTATTTTGATCTGTTAAATTATTGTGTACTACCTGAAAAATCAGAAAACAGTAATCAGGCCATTTTGATTTTTTTTTTTTTTAATTTTTTATTGGATTTTAGGTTTTGGGGTATATGAGCAGAGCATGCAAGACAGTTGCATAGGTATGCACATGGCAGGGTGCTTTGCTTTGCTTCTCCCCTTCACCCACATTTGGCATTTCTCCCCAGGCTATCCCTCCCCTTTTCCCCCCAATAGACCCCAGTGTTTAGTACTCCCCTTTCTGTGTCCATGTGTTCTCATTTTTCATCACCCGCCTATGAGTGAGAATATGCGGTGTTTCATTTTCTGTTCTTGTGTCAGTTTGCTGAGGATGATATTCTCCAGATTCATTCATGTCCCTACAAACGACACAAACTCATCATTTCTGATTGCTGCATAATATTCCATGGTGTATATGTGCCACATTTTTCCAATCCAGTCTATTATCAATGGGCATTTGGGTTGATTCCAGGTCTTTGCTATTGTAAACAGTGCTGCAATGAACATTCGTGTACATGTGTCCTTATAGTAGAACGATTTATAGTCTTTTGGATATATACCCAGTAATGGGATTGCTGGGTCAAATGGAATTTCTATTTCTAAGGCCTTGAGGAATCGCCACACTGTCTTCCACAATGGTTGAACTAATTTCCACTCCCACCAACAGTGTAAAAGTGTTCCTTTTTCTCCACATCCTCTCCAGCATCTGTTGTCTCCAGATTTTTTAATGATCGCCATTCTAACTGGCGTGAGATGGTATCTCAATGTGGTTTTGATTTGCATCTCTCTGATGACCAGTGACGATGAGCATTTTTTCATATGATTGTTGGCCTCATATATGTCTTCTTTCGTAAAGTGTCTGTTCATATCCTTTGCCCACTTTTGAATGGGCTTGTTTGTTTTTTTCCTGTAAATCTGTTTGAGTTCTTTGTAAATTCTGGATATCAGCCCTTTGTCAGATGGGTAAACTGCAAAAATTTTTTCCCATTCTGTTGGTTGCCGATTCACTCTAGTGACTGTTTCTTTTGCTGTGCAGAAGCTGTGGAGTTTCATTAGGTCCCATTTGTCTATTTTGGCTTTTGTTGCCAATGCTTTTGGTGTTTTGTTCATGAAGTCCTTGCCTACTCCTATGTCCTGGATAGTTTTGCCTATATTTCCTTCTAGGGTTTTTATCGTGCGCCATTTTGATTTTTTTTTCTTGTTTTATTCTTTTTTTTTTTTTTTTTTTTGAGATAGAATCTTGTTGTGTTGCCCAGGCTGGAGTGCCATGGCATGATCTCTGCTCACCACAACCTCCACCTCCTGGGTTCAAGCAGTTCTCCTGCCTCAGCCTCCAGAGTAGCTGGGATTACGGGCACCTGCCACCAAACCCGGCTAATTTTTGTATTTTTAGTAGAGATGGGATTTCACCATGTTGGCCAGGCTGGTCTTGATCTCCTGACCTTGTGATCCATCCTCCTCGGCCTCCCAGAGTGCTGGGATTACAGGTGTGAGCCACTGTGCCTGGCCCTATTTTGATTTTTTGAGGAAGATAAAAGGGCTTCCAGACAGCCATTTGTGGGATAGGTGGAAAGAGATCCATATCCATAAGGAAGCTGGTGATATGTTGATATGGTCCCTGCATCCAGTTGGTCAGCAATTCTGAAGGTTCTAACTTTAAAACATACTCCAGATTTGCTTCCTGCCCAAGTCATCACCACCACTCATCAGAACAACAGCGGCAGCCTCCCCACTGCTCTCCATAGCCACAGTCTAGAGAGCTTTGTCAAAAGTGTAAGTCAAGTCATCTGCTCCCTTGCTTAAAGAGCCCTGGTGGCTTTTCTTTACACTTAGAGCAAGATCACCATGTGCCCACCTCCAGCTGGCCTCTCCCTTTTCTCTCATTCAGTACAGCTTCTTAGGCATCTCTCAGGGACCAGCACCTATCTAGGATCCAGGAGCACAGAACAGGACAGACATATCCTTTCCTTAAACAACCTCATGTTCTCACATCCCTCTAGTCTCCCTGCACTTGCTTCTCCCCCTACCCAGAGCTTCATCCCAGATCCCCACAAACTGGGTCCTCATCTAGCCCCACCCCATTTAAATAAAGAAGTATCCTTTTCTCCACTCACACAGAATCACAGTATCCTCTCTTCTATTTGTTTTTTTTTTTTTTTTTTTTTTTTTAAATACAGGGTCTCACTCTCACCCAGCTGGAGTGTAGTAGTGTGATCTTGGCTCTCTGTAGTCTCAACCTCCTGGGCTCAGGTGATTCTCCCACCTCAGCCTCTCAAGTAGCTAGGACTACAGGCATGTGCCACCATGCCTGGCTAATTTTTTGTAGAGACAAGCTTTCACCATGTTGCCCAGGCTAGTCTCAAACTCCTGGATTCAAGCCATCCACCCACCTTGGCCTCCCAAAGTGTGGGGATTACAGGCATGAGATGCCATGCCTGGCCTTCTTCTATTTCTGCTCCTGTGCTTACAGAATTTGAATATATCCCATTTGTTCATTTATTTGTTAGTCCTCTGTGCTGTGAGTTCCTTAAGAGTCCTCTCAGCTCTGTGTAGCCTGACCCCTCTGACGGTGGTGGCCTCAGTGTTTGTGATGTGTCTGTAGCTGTCCCAGCACTGGGAAGGGTGGGATTTCTGGTGTCCTTTCATTGGTGCTGGGATTCGATGGCTCTAGAGGAAAAAGAAGGAGACCTGTGTGTCCATCTCATGTGTGACCATCCAGATGATTTTCAGGCAAGTGTGCTGGGTGGGTGGACCAGATGCTGCCACTAAATGACCTTTTTTAGACCTTCTCCCTGAGGGTTCAGGGAGAATTAGAGTGGGGGCCCACCTTATCTCAGGAGAGCAGAGCAAGTCATGAGCACGGAGCTTTCTGATTCTTAGCTCAGGTCCCATGTCACCTTCTCTGTCTACTTGGTTCTCTGTCAGGGCCTAGGCTGGGGTCTCGGTCACAGAGAGGGTCTGGTGATTGGACTCTAGTGGCTAACAGGATGTCCTGCCCACAGGTGGTGCAGCTGAAGGCTGTGTTCCCACATGGTGCAGGCTTTGTGCTGGCTTTTGAGTTCATGCTGTCGGATCTGGCTGAGGTGGTGCGCCATGCCCAGAGGCCACTAGCCCAGGCACAGGTCAAGAGCTACCTGCAGATGCTGCTCAAGGGTGTCGCCTTCTGCCATGCCAACAACATTGTGCATCGGGTCAGTCTCAGCATAGGCCAAGGGTGGGGTCTGGGGAGCTGACTCGGCTTGGGGATGGGGATAGCCCTTGTAAAAAGCATGACCAGAAGTGGGGACAGAGCTGGTCAAGGCCTCCAGGTAAGCAGCCAGGGCATAGCCCTGGAGGAGACAGGGACCATGGTTGACCTGGGTGGTTAGACTGCCAAGCCCTCTTGTCCCTAGGTCCTGGGGGGATTTGGAGGGACTCATCCTTCCTTTGGCATTTTCAGGACCTGAAGCCTGCCAACCTGCTCATCAGTGCCTCAGGCCAGCTCAAGATAGCGGACTTTGGCCTGGCCCGAGTCTTTTCCCCAGATGGCAGCCGCCTCTACACACACCAGGTGGCCACCAGGTAGGGAGGGCCAGATCCCTTCCAGCCCTCGCCATGGGGAAGAGATGCTTCTGGGCCTTTTCTCCAGACATTGCTTGTGGGGCTGGGTTCACCTCCCCCGGCATCCTTTTCTCAGCCCAGTGTCCACCAGCTCTCTTCCTCGCAGGTGGTACCGAGCCCCTGAGCTCCTGTATGGTGCCCGCCAGTATGACCAGGGTGTCGATCTGTGGTAAGACCCCCATGGGTGGTCAAAGGGTAACATGGCTCATGGATTTCTGCTAGGCTCTGAGGTCTCTGAGCTGTTTGGTGGTCTTTTCCGTGGTGGGAGTTTAGGCTCCCTTAAGGGTGTCTTCCCTGGTTGGGGTATTCTGAACACTTTGGGGTTGGGGTCCTCACTATGATGTTTTTGAGCTAGGCGGGGGTCAGGTGGGATGAGAATGGTGGTCCCAGGCGGGAAGCTTTCTGGGCTAGGTGGGGAGGTGGTCTGAGCTTGTATGTGCTGGAGTTAGATCCCAGAATATGGTATTTCTGAGCTGGTCAGTGGCCCGTATCCTTGGATATGAAAGCTCTGAGCTTGTTTTGCAAGAAGAAGATAGTTGGCAGTGCCCATGGGTCTGAGATTTGGGGCAGGTTTGCGGGTCTCTCCCAGAAAGTGCAGGGGAGCTGTGTGTCCTAGAGTAGGAGTCTCTGAGAAGTCTTGGAACAGCTGGGGCTTTGCTCTGGGTTCTAGGGTTGAGGGCTTTGAGGGTTCAGGGACTGGGCCCCTGGACATGAGGCTCCAGGGCTGGCTTGTGGGGCCTTGCCCTGGAGTGCAGTGTTAGAGCTGCCCTTTGGGTGGGTATGTGGTCCACGGTGGGAGATCTCTGAGCTCCTTGGGACTCTTTCCACAGGGCCGTGGGCTGCATCATGGGGGAGCTGTTGAATGGGTCCCCCCTTTTCCCGGGTGAGAACGACATTGAACAGCTTTGCTGTGTGCTTCGCATTTTGGGCACCCCCAGCCCTCAAGTCTGGCCGGTTTGTAGGGCCCCTTGGTGGGATGGGTGTGGGGCAGGTTTACTCCACTCCCCGACAGCAAGTGACCACTCCCTCCCCTGAACCTTCTCTCTCCTGGCCTCAACGCCCCCCTTGATGGACAGGAACCACTGTCCTGCCCCAACTCGGGTTCCTCCTTCCTGCTGTCATGAAGGTTTGGGGGTAGGTCTTGCTTTTTGTCCCCTTTCACCCCAGTATACACATGTGCAGTGTCTCAGCAAGCTGGGCACAGATCTGCCATCTGAGAGGGCAAGGGGATGGATGAAGGAATGTAGGGGTGGTTGAATGGGTCAAGGAGACACATGGTGGGAGAGCACCCCCCACATGAGGGTGTTAGGGGCTGAGAGCTGACAGCAGAGGGTGTGGTGAGGGTTGGGGACTACTCTCATGGACCCTGTTCCTTCTCCCTGGCCCAGGAGCTTGCCGAGCTGCCAGACTACAACAAGATCTCCTTTAAGGAACAGGCACCCGTGCCCCTGGAGGAAGTGCTGCCGGACGCCTCTCCCCAGGCATTGGACTTGCTGAGTCAGTTCCTTCTCTACCCTCCTCTCCGGCGCATCGCAGCCTCCAAGGTAAGGTGAGAAGCTGGGGTCTCTGCTCCTTCAGCTCCCCTCCCCATCACCCTGGTACTCTGTACTTGGTTGCCACGTGACCCCCATCAAGTCAGCGGCTCTCAGAACGTGTGATGGGCAGGGACCAGCACCAGGCATTTGGAACCCAGGGGACAGGGACCTTGGAGCAGGTGTGCCTCTTCTGAGGCACTGGACATCCCTAGAGTTCTCCTGAGGGTGGCCTCCAAGAGGGGCATGCCCACCTCACAGGAGAGCACATGTCCGAGGGTGCTGACTTCTGGGCTGCCTCTGATCCTATAGGGGGAGCACTGGGGACTCGTTCCTTCATTCCTTTGGCAAGTATTTTCTGCACACCCTCACGTGGCAGGGGTTGTTCTGGGCCCCACACGGATGGTGAACAATCAGACCTGCCTCCATGGGGCACTCCTAGTGGTAAGGTAGCTCCAGGCCCAAAAGGTCACAAGAGATTGTGCTGTCCCAGTGTGGGAGACCCAGAAGAGAGGCGAGGCCGACTTTGGGGTCAAGCAAAGCTTTCTGGTGGAGGGCAGGTTTAAGCAGGAGATGTTTGAGGAGGTGTTTGCTGAAGAGAGAAATGGTGGGCAGTGGCCTGGAGGCGAGGACCAAGGAAGGCTGGTTATGGCTGGAAGGCCTGGGAGGACGATGAGGACCACAGGATCATGGGCTGACAGGTGTCAGGGTGTGTCTCTCAGGGGTCCCTGTCCCCTCTGCACGCAGCACCAGCAGCAGGTGTTTATATACGCTCTCTTCGTCTCGCAGCTCCTGTGGGCTCTGCATCCACAGTGCACCCCAGCCATCTGACCCTTACCTCCTGATTGCCTCCCAGAATCTGGGTCTCCCCTCATCCCATGTAATCTCTTCTCCACCTGGCAGAGAGAGTAACTTTATCCAAATAGAGCAGGACACATTCCTGCTCTGCCAGGCCCTCCTATGGCTCCATGTCAGAGGAAAAGCCAGGGTCCTCTCTGTGGCCCACAGGTGTCACATGTTTGGGTGCCATCACCTCATGACGCTGCCAGCTGTTGTGCCGTGTGCCCACTGCTTTCCAGCCCCAGGGCCTCCTCCACACACCAGGGCATCCCCTGGGGTCTGTACACTTTTGTCTCTGCCCTGGAACCTCATGTCCCACTTGCTCATGTCTCAAGTCTTGGCTAAAATGTCACCTCTCAGATGGCCTTCCCTCGTGACGCTTCATATCTGTAACCTCTCTCCAGGATTCCTCATTCCTCTCTCTTGCTGTCTCTTTCCCACTGCACTAATCATTATCTGACATACGGTGTATTTTACTTCATCTTGTTTATTACTCCCCACCCCCACCTATGTCAGAAAGACAGAGCTTTTGTCTGTTTTATTAACAGCTATGTCCCCAGCTTCTGGAATAGTGTTTCAGACATAGTAGACACTCAGAAAATACCCAGGCACTGAGTCCACTGAATGCATAGATGAAGGAACATCTGCCTGAGGCTGAGGGCAGGGAAGTGACTGGTTTCCTTCTGCTGTTCCTTACTTGCCACCCCCAGGCTCTCCTCCATCAGTACTTCTTCACAGCTCCTCTGCCTGCCCATCCATCTGAGCTACCGATTCCTCAGCGTCCAGGGGGACCTGCCCCCAAGGCCCATCCAGGCCCCCACCACGTTCATGACTTCCACGTGGACCGGCCTCTTGAGGAGTCGCTGTTGAACCCGGAGCTGATTTGGCCCTTCATCCCGGAGGGGTGAGAAGCTGGCCCTGGTCCTGTCTGCCTGTGCCTAAGGACCACCCAGTCCACTTGTTCCTCTGCCACCTGCCTGGCTCCACCCTCCAAGGCCTCCCCATGGCCACACTGGGCCCACTCCACACCACACCCTGCCCCTTGACCCTTGTGAGGGTTGGTCTTGAGGCAGAGGTTATGTTCCTAGCCAAGAGCATGACAGCATCCAGTCCAGCAGAGGAGATTCACGTCCTGTGCTTGGTGAGTCTGTGTGCTGCTGACTTACCCATCAGAACAGTGAGCTCTGCTGCCATTCAGGGCCTGCCTATGCAGAATGGCGATGTCTGCCTTGGTGATTACCCATCACAACAGTGAGCTCTGCTGCCAGCTAAGGCCTGCCTATGCAGAATGGCGATGTCTGCCTTGGTGATTACCCATGAGAACAGTGAGCTCTGCTGCCAGCTAAGGCCTGCCTATGCAGAATGGCGATGTCTGCCTTGGTGATTACCCATGAGAACAGTGAGCTCTGCTGCCAGCTAAGGCCTGCCTATGCAGAATGGCGATGTCTGCCTTGGTGATTACCCATCACAACAGTGAGCTCTGCTGCCAGCTAAGGCCTGCCTATGCAGAATGGCGATGTCTGCCTTGGTGATTACCCATCACAACAGTGAGCTCTGCTGCCAGCTAAGGCCTGCCTATGCAGAATGGCGATGCCTGCCTTGGTGATTACCCATCAGAACAGTGAGCTCTGCTGCCAGTCAAGGCCTGCCTGTGCAGAATGGCAATGCCTGCCTTCGTGCTGCTTCCCCAGGTGTTGCCTCCTGGTCAAGGAGAAGTGCAGAGAGTAAGGCGTCCTCATGTTGGAAACTCAAGTGGAAGGAAGATTTGGTTTTATTCTCAGAGACATTAAACACTAGTTCAGTATGTGAGGTTATAGATTCTAAAAACCTCTGGTGTCTCTGTCTGTTCCTCCTCTATTTCTCTCAAGGGAAATAAAGTGACATTGTCTGATGGCCCTCATTTTTGGGTGGGTCCTGGGGAAGGTGGCACCAGGCACAGCACTTTTGCCCTGAGGGCCTCTCGTGTGCTTCATATGACTGATTACTAATTTGGAAGTGAGGGAGATGGAAGTCTAGGCCCAGGGATGGCTCCAGTTGGGGATCCAGCAGGAGACCCTCCGCACTGAGGCTGGTTTACCAACATATCTACTCCCTCAGGATGAGTGTGAGCCAGAAGCAGCTGTTTATATAAGGAAACAAGCATTCCTGGAATTAATTTTTTAATTTAATAAATCTCAATATAATCCCAGCCAGCTCTTTTTCCTTATAATAATTTGACTGATGAGGTGATTGTAAAAGAGCCATTAAAGTGCAAAGGGCCAAGAGAAGGAAGTGGAACCTTGCAGAAGAGGAAATGATGGAAGGACCTGCGGTATCAGATACCAATATTTAAAAGTTTATTTAAGAAGTAAGACAGCACGATTGTGGTTCAAGGATAAAAACAGATACACTAGAGAAACTTATTCTTAGCAATCCTTTATTTTTAAATTGTTTATTTTATGCTTCATGTGGATAAACTCTTCTATGAGCACTGAGGGTGACTAACACTGTTACAGACGCTGGCCTCCAAACACTTAGTGGAAAGATAAAACCTATTAAACCCCCATTCTTGCTTTTAGGGAAGTCTGATGTTCTTATGATCTGGCCTCTGTTTATTTCTCCAGCCACATCTACAAACTTTTAAGCTTCTAAGAGACCTTCAAAGAGAACTCTAAAATGTATATAACATTTGCAAGTAAAAGGACAAAAAATGATTACCATGCATACACACACCAAAAATCTGGTGTAGTTATTTGATATCAAACAATAGAGCCCAGGTGCGGTAGCTCATACCTGTAGTCCCAACACTTTGGGAGGCTAAGCTGGGCAGATCACCTGAGATTGGGAGGTCAAGACCAGCATGGCCAACATGGTGAAATCCCATCTCTACTAAAAATACAAAAATTAGCCAGCTGTGGTGGTATATGCCTGTAATCTGAGGCTGAGGCAGGAGAATCGCTTGAACCTCGGAGACAGAGGTTGTGATGAGTAGAGATCGTGCCACTGCACTCCGGCCTGAGCAAGAGTGGGAGTCTGTCTCAGTAACAACAAAAATCAGATTTTAAGGCAAAGTGTAGCAGTTATTTAATATAAGATACAATTTCAAGGCAAAAATAATTACTAGGGGTAAACAGATTTAGTTCTAATTATATTCCATTCATTGGCAAAATTTTCCAAATTTGTGTGTACCTGATAATATAGTCTTGGCTGGGTGCAGTGGCACATGCCTATAATCCTAGCACTTTGGGAGGCCGAGGTGGGTGAATCACCTGAGGTCAGGAGTTCAAGACTACCCTGACCAACATAGTGAGACCCCGTCTCTACAAAAAATTAGCCTGGCCTGGTAGCAGGCGCCTAAAATCCCAGCTACTCGGGAGGCTGAGGCAGGAGAATCACTTGAACATGGGAGGTGGAGGTTGCTGTGAGCCAAGATCGTTCCATTGCACTCCAGCCTTGGCAACAAGAGCGAGACTCCACCTCAAAAACAAATACAAATATATGTATATACATACACACATACACACACACACATTCTCAAACATGATTAATTTTATAAATGAATAGGATTCAAAAGACTAAGGATATTAGAAGTAACTTTTTTTTGAGACGGAGTTTCACTCTTGTTGCCAAGGCTGGAATGCAGTGGCGTGATCTCGGCTAACCACAATTCTTCTGCCTCAGCCTCCTGAGTAGTTGGGATTACAGGCATGTGCCACCATACCCGGCTAATTTTGTATCTTTAGTAAAGATGAGGTTTCTCCATGTTGGTCAGGCTGGTCTTGAACTCCTGACCTCAGGTGATCCGCCCACCATGGCCTCCCAAAGTGTTGGGATTACAGTTATGAGCCACTGAGCCTAGCCACAAGTAACTTTATAAATGTGAATTCTGGTAAAAATTGACAAATTCATAGAAAAATTCAACTTGCAATAATCAAAAACAAACCCCTGAAGTGTCTTGAACTACTAAAGAAATTGAACCTCTAAATTAAAATATTTTCATTATGTCATCTACAGGCCCAGAGAGCTTCACTGCTAAATTCTGCTAATCACTTAATAGAGAAAATGTCAAGATTTCAGAGAATATAAGAGAAAGCCTACTCAGCTTATTTTGTGACACCAGCAGTAGTTTTAATATTAAAATTAACAAGGACGTTAGAAAAATGAAAATTGTCGGATGTGGTGGCTCATGCCTATAATCCCAGCACTTTGGGAGGCTGAGGTGGGTGGATCACGAGGTCAAGAGATTGAGACCATCCTGGTCAACAAGGTGAAACCCCGTCTCTACTAAAAATACAAAAATTAGCTTGGCATGGTGGTGCGTGCCTGTAGTCCCAGCTACTTGGAAGGCTGAGGCAGGAGAATTGCTTGAACCCAGAAGGCAGAGGTTGCAGTGAGCCAAGATCATGCCATTGCACTCCAGCCTGGGTAACAACAGCAAAACTCCGTCTCAAAAAAAAAAAAAAAGAAAAGAAAAGAAAGAAAATTACATGATTATTTTTGTATTATCTTTCAAAAATAAAGGAAAACTCAGCTAGACGTGATGGCTCACACCTGTAATCTCAACAGTTTGGGAGGCTGAGGTGAGAGGACTACTTTAGTCCGGGAGTTTGAGACCAGCCTGGGCAATATGGCAAGACCCCATCTCTATAAAAAATTAAAAATTAGTGGAAGATACCAGGAGAAACTACAGTGACAGGTACGAGGAGATACGCCATCAGTTGGGAGGCAACGTCCTGGGTCTCAAGTCTGTGGCTCATATCACCAAGCCTGGAAAAAGCAAAGGCGGAAGAACTTGAAACGTACATTATAGTTTTCTGTAAATAAAAATAATTTAAGTGATACAAAAAAAAATAAAAATAAAAATTAGCCAGGTGTGGTGGCATGTGCCTGTAGTGTCAGCTACATGGGAGGCTGAGGTGGGAGAACTGCTCAAGGCTAGGAAGCCAAGGCAACAGTGACCCATGATCACGCCACTGCGCTCAGCCTGGATGACAGAGTGAGACCATGCCTCCCCATAAGGATAGTCCCCCTAAAACAGGAGTGTGGTCCTCCCTGACCTGTGCCTGGCCAGGTTCTTCCCAAGGCTGAGATCTCCAGTGGCATGAGGGTCTCCAAAGAGCCTAGGGCCACAGGCCTTTCTCTGGGGGTTCCAGGAGCTCAGGGTCTGGCCAGCCTGTCCCCAGTCCAAGACAGACCACCAATTTGGTGGTTATTCACTCCCAAACCTTCCCTTGGACCCTGATCTGAGGGCCCATGGTTCCCACAGTACTGCTTCAGGCAGGAATGCTGGGCCCCCATCCCTTCAACATCCACCCTGGCTACCCCCAGAACCATGAACAGAACAGGCCCTGCAACCTCACTGGGGCCCATCATCGACTCCTGCCCAGCCCTCTGAAGACCCACAGGCAGAGCCCAAGTCACCTCCCGTTCATGGTGGGCCATGTCCTATACCTGTCAGGTTCACTGACCTGCATGATCTGGAAGCAGCCAGGGCAGCAGCCTACCCTGCAAGCTGCCTAGAAGCCCCAGATGATCCCTCAGCCAGCTGAGACCAACATCCACAAGGAAGCTGGATACTTGGAAGCTTCTGGAGGGGAGGGGGTGTGTGTGGCATTCTCATAGCTCTGGCCAGCCAACACAGTGTCCTCATGCTGACCTGCTGTGGGACAGAGTCCCCTCACATGGCACAAGCCCCAGGCCCAGAGGGGTCTGATCTGGCCTTAACCCGAGCCTGGGGCCTCCAGCAGCCAAGGTGATCACCAAAGGGACCGAGCCAACTGTGGCTCTGACCATTACTGGAATCTAGCCCAAAGCAGGGCGAGCCCTCTCAGAGCAGTACATGGCTACTTGGGACCTGTGCAAACCCTAGAAGACCAAGTCAGTGACCTTAGGGGGCCCAAATAGCAACTAGTCATCTTGGCGATGAGTAGGCAGGTTGGCCACCACCCTCGTTCATACAAGGAGGCAGGGATGGTCAGGCTCTAGGACCTGAGTGGTCACCTGGTCACCCATGAGACAGATCCCTGAGGCCAAGAGTGATGCTGGGCCCTCCTGCTCCAGGTGGTAGGACTGGAAGAAGCTGGGCAGGCCTGGGCCCAGGAGGCTGGGTCCCTCTATCTGCCATCCTTGGCAGGCCATGGTCCCCGAAACTCAGGAAATGTGGCCTTACTCAGAGCAAGGAGGTTCTAAGGTGGGGACCAGAGTCCCCAGTCTGAGTTCACCATTTAAAGCTTCCCTCCCAGGGACAAGGGTTGCTCCCCTGGCCTCATGGACAATAAATAGTTTATATGACTCACCTGTTCTTCAGGCACCCAGAGTTGTCTGCAAGAAGCACCAGACATCCTGGAGCAGGTGGGAGAAGAGGGTGGCACAGTCCAGCCTGCCTGACCCACCTCCGCCTTGCAAAGGCTGCAGTAGGGCCTAGGACCAGACAGAGCCAAGGTTCTCATATACTCCGTGTAAGGCCATCAGAGAGGCCTCAAGGAAATCTGGAGCAGGGAGGTCAAAATTCTCTGATTGCCCCCTCAATTTGTGGGGGTAGGGGTAGACATGAGGCCAAGGGAGCATCCCTTGTCCCTGTGAGGGAAGCTTTGAATGGTGAACCCCTGTAAGGCTATCAGGGAGGCCTCAAGGAAATTTGGAGCAGAAAGGTCAAAATTATCTAATTGCCCACTCAAATGTCCTAATCCTACATCTCAGGGTCTTATTCTTTCCCTCCCTGGGCCTGACTTTTCAAAATTACCATCGACCATGAGGGGGCTTCCCTCACACAAGCTAAACAAACCACCTGCAACCATGTTCCTGCCAAGATGAACAAGAGAGGTTATACTAGGACCTAAGGGACAAGGGGACCCCAAATTGGATGACCTCTCAGAAACCCATGGGGCAGTTACAGTTCTTACTAGGGTCAGATTATGATGTCTCCTTCAAGCCATCTCCACCTTCTGTGCCTGCCCCTGACCTTCACCAGTGGCAGGTACCCACCCCACACAGGGATCTGGTGACTGTGGAATCAGGTTCCCCTGGAAGACAATCACCCTCTTCCAATTTTTGGAGCCCACTGTTTGGGCTCCAAAAAATAAACACCACAAGCTGGCTCTGTTGGATGTGGATGGTCAAATCTCCCTAATCCCAGGAAGCACTCATGCTTTCAAAGGACCCCTCAAGGAAATGACAGGCTTGGAAGGAAGATTAGTTAATAAGCCACTTAACTATTAAAGTTAGTCCCTATGGCTGGGTGTGGTAGCTCATGCCTGTAATGGCTCAGCACTTTGGGAGGCCGAGGCGGGTGAATCACCTGACATCGGGAGTTCAAAACCAGGCTGCCCAACATGGCAAAACCCCATCTCTACTAAAAATACAAAAATGAGCCAGGTGTGGTGGCGTGCACCTGTAAGTAATCCCAGCTACTTGGGAGGCTCAGGCAGGATAACTGCTTGAACCCGGATGGCAGAGGTTGCAGTGAGCTGAGATTGTGCTGCTGCACTTCAGCCTGGGCAACAGAGTGAGACTGCATCTCTAAATAAATAAATAAAGTCCCATCTTGCTAAGAAATACTTCTGTTCTTGTTCCCATTATTGAATAGACCT